CTTTTTGCCTTGAACTTTTGGCTGAGCTCTGAGTCTCTGACCACATTTTAAGGGTATTCGAAGATCGATCGGAGGGTTTCGGGCGAATTCCGAAGTGGGTTCACTTTTTTGGCGAGGTAAGTGGATCAGTTCGAGTTTGAGTAATTCTGTGTGTTTTAAACTTGAATTTGGTGTTTACTTTCCTAATAGATGAATGAAGTAAATAAAAGGGTAATATGAGTTTCCCGTATGTTAACATTTTGCTTCTTTTTGTTATAATTTGAAAGCTTGAATTCATTGAGTTGACTAAGCCAAGACGATTTGTTGCGACTCGACCATACTTTGTTATTTTATTCAATTTCTCGGCAACCAAATGGTCCATGGAAGAAAAGATCTGTTATTTCCTAAAAGGCATTGCTCCAAGATTCAGTTATTTATTTACAAAGTGTTGAAAGATGAGATTGTATTAAGGTTCTTCAGATAAACTCTGCTTAGATTAATTTTCTGGAGATTTGGTACCAATATTAGTTTGAGATTCTTTATTGGATTATGGTCCCCTCCATTGAGATCGTTGGATAAATCATCCCGTGGGACCTTGCTAAAGTTCGATATGCCTATTTTCTTTGTTGAAAAAGTAAGCCTTTTGATCTCAGTATTATTTGGTTTTCAATCTTGAAGGTTGAAGAAACTCTATAGAGGAAATGTCGCAGAAAACCAGGGCCCCACCTTCCTTCCAGTCAATCAAATCATTGCCCGGAGATTTTGGGTTCTCAGTTCTACCAGCTTCTGATCGATTTGGAAAATCCGATGATGGGAAATTGGGAAATAGCAATGTCATCTCCTCGAGTATTCCAGAAAAAGGTGGTTTTGAGGGGGTTGAAGGTAGTAGCGGGCCTTTTGGCGACATGGAACATGTAGACGATTCACCATATTGGGTTGAAGGAAATTGTTCATTAGATTTATCAAGGTTTGTGTTTTCCCTGTTTAAATCAATTTTAAAAAAATATATATGCCATGCTTTGTTGGGCTATTTCCCACTTCTGGATTTTTGTTTTTAATCCATATGGGTCTTTTATTTCAGCTACAAGAGCACGAAAAGGAGTTGAAGAACAAGCAAAGGGTAGAGGAGAGGCACCGAAAAGAGGGGGAGAAAGCAAAGCAGGTATGTTTTGTCTTACAATGCCGTTATTTTCTCTTTTAGTTATAGATTGGTGGTGGGATTCTAGATGAATTCATATATTGGGTATTGTAAATTGACATATAGAGTTATGAATGTTTAAATTTATGTTAGATAGTTCTACAATTATACATATTGGTCGATTTGTTTGACTTTAATTTGAAACCAAATTTTTCTCTAGACCCTCTTTGCGGTGGAATCGGCCCTTTCCCATTTTCGAATGGAAAACACAGATGGTCGATCCATGACTTACTATGTTGGTTTGATTATTAGGAAAACTAATGAAAATGGCTTGAAAACTTTGAGTTTTAATGATAAGGACAAAATAAAGGGTAAAGTGAATAGTACCAGAATTGATTTTTTAGTGTAAAAATGTGGGTTTTCGTTAAAGTGAACAGTACCAGGTGTTTTTCGTTAAAGTTCCCATTATTATTACTTGGATTCTTACTTTCAATTACCTCACTCTTTTTATTTTCTTTGATGAACTGGACGGTGTGGAAAATCCAATAGAGATAGATCATTGAGGTCTCTTTGTCAAGTTAAATTTTCTTTCTAATTTTTTCATGGAAATAGAAAATGTTTAGACATAAATTTCCTTATTCTATAGCTATAGAAGCTGATAGCGTGCATTTGGTTATACTTGGGTAAGATATAAGATGAATTAAGATAGTATTGTTTTTCTCACCTTCCAGCTACCAGTTTGTTGTTTGGCACTATAAATTTGCAATTACAATGCGCAAAAAAAAAAAAAAAAAGGGTTAGCAATTTGCTTGCATTCTGCTTGCTTTGTCCAAACTAACTCAAACATAGCTTATAAGGATAATAAAGTTGCATAATCTTTTATACAGTTTTTAATTAGCAGCAATGCGCGGACACAAGTTTCTAGTTATATACCTATTTGAATAAACCTAAATCATAACATATGCATCTAAATATTCATATCTAATTAATGCATTTTTTTTAGTTTATAAAAAGCTCTCATGATCGAAAAAAGTGATCCCATGAAAATTTTATACATGGCCCTCTTAACTTTAGAAAATGAATTACATATTGCTGGTGAGAGTATGGACTAAAATCAGTTTGAAATTTGAATGAGATTAAAAAAAAAACTACAACATAATATATCATATAGAACCTAAAAATAAGCTATAGCAAATTTTATATGAACCCATATAACCTTTTTTTACATAACTTACTCTCTACATTCATATTATTTTTTATTAAAAAAATTATTATCTCCTTAAACCTGAATTTACACTACTACAAAATGGTCTTATAGTGTCAGTAGGTGGTGTCGGTTTAATTTAATATAGTGGCGGATAAGACAGTTGCGACACTAACTGAACATGACGTCGGATTTACTGTTGCTTATAAGTGTCATAAAGTACTAGTGTCGCTTTTAAACCAACGTAAACATACATTTTAATATTTTTAAATAATGGTGTCGCTTTTAAACCAACGTAAACATACATTTTAATATTTTTAAATACTGGTGTCGCTTTTAAGCGACATAAAGTAAGAGAGCTTTTCAATCAGTGTTGCAAAAGCTTCCTTATTTCGATGCACATCAGGCTCACGTCGGTTTAAACCGACGCAAACTTGGCCTATTTCGAGGCCGCCTGCTACGACTGTTAAGACTGTCAGGGACACGTTGGTTTTAACCGACGCAAACTTGTCCTTATTTTTTTAAATATTTTAAAGCTTGCGTCGGTTCTGAGCGACATAGATTTTAGTTTTTTTAAATATTTTAAAATCCGGTGTCGGTTGTAAGCGACATAATAATTGTCTTTATATACTTTCCCCCATGTTGTCTTCCTCCTCTCTTGCACCTTTCTTATTTGTTCTTCCAACTCCAAACCCTCTCGTGTTCTCTCTTGCACCTTTCTTATTTGTTCTTCCAACTTCATTTGTTCCTTCTTCACAACAGTAAGTTTTTCTTGCTTCTAAATTTTTTATTTTCTCCACTTATCTTTAATTTTTAATTACAATTTATTTTTGTAGGGAATTTATTTGAGCTGGTTGAGTACATAAAGATTTGATCGATGACGGAATTCTTCCATAATTCAGGTTTCTATCACTAAATTCTTTAATTTTTATATTGTATAATACACAAGTTTATTTATTTAAAAGTTCTAATTTAAGTAGTTAGATAAATTTATACTATTTTTGTTAAATTAATAAATATTTAGTCGAATTAATTAATTTTGTCACTTGAATTGTTATGAACACAAATCCAATTGAAAATGTAAATTCTTCTATACACGTATCATTTAGAAAATAAAATCCCAAATTCAATAATTTGGTGACGTTTCTACTTGTTATCGGAATGGAAGTTTTATGGAGCTTGATTTCTGTGGACAAGTTGAATATTTGGTGAAGTTTTTACTTGTTTATGAATATACTAATAATAATATTTTTTTAGTTTCCCCTTCAGATTATATGGCTTGAACTTGACAAACTGCTATGAAAATCTTTCAGCCTCCATCCTCATCTACTCAATGCCATTGTTACTCCTCTATACACTTCTCCATATCTAGATAAAAAAAGAGAAACAGGAAGAAGAAAATAATAATATTCCCTTTATAATATTTGCTGAAACTGCATGAAAGGATGAGAAAGACGTGGAATGTGGAATGATAATATCTGTCAAAAATGCATGAAAGAGCTGGGCAAGTAGTATTTGCCTAAACCGTCGAGGAAACCAAAATTGGCAGGGGAAACTAAACTGTATGAAAGGATGAGAGAAACATGTAACTATAATATTTGCCTAAACCTTCCAAGAAACCCAATTGGCTGGGGAGGCTTCACCACCATCTACACTGCAAGACCGGCCAGAAACTCATCCTCTCAACTTCTAGAGTTGCTGGCCTTTAATTGAAACCTAAAAGCCCATCTTCTCAACTCTAAACAATTGAAATCAAACGAAAAACTGCGCATTCCAAGATTAGAACCCATAAGAAGCCCTAATTGTTTGGACTTGAGTACGTTGAAAAAAGACATACAACCCTGGCAAGAACCAGGGCCAGCCAGACTTGAAGGCAGCCGGATAACGTGACTGCCTAGGGGGCCTCAAATTGTTTTTGTATGATGTAGATATGATATAAATTAATAAGAGTAAGGGATATTAATTAGCAAATGAGTTGCTAGTGTGGTGTAAATAGAATGTGTAATGTTTCTAGGTGTTTGTAGTTCGAAACCTGGTGATATTGATATAATAATTAATTAGTAATTAGAAATTATTCACCCCAAAAAAAAACTATATGAATGTTTAACGTATCATAGTGCCTACGAACTCGAGGGCCCATTTTTAGTGGCTCACCTTGGGCCCCTAGAATCTCAGTGTTAGCCTTGGCAAGAACGATTTTATGCGGAATGTATGACCGATGCTCCTTTAGGTTCTTTAAATTTCGTGGGTGGCGTAGCTACCGAGATCTATGTAGTAAAAAATTTGCATAAATCGATTCATACCTTAGTTAGAGGTTTCAAAACCTTAAACCCACCTTCTATCGATAAAATAAAATATGCGTGATGGTAGGTGTTAATTATTGAGTGTAAGTTTATTAACAAATTTTAGTTTTATTGTTACTTCCATCTTGTACTTGATGGTATATGCAATAGAAAAAAGACAATTCATGCTTAAAGTTTAAATTAGGTGTAGAAAGAGGTTATTATGGGTTCAAACAAAATTGCACATAAGGTATAATGATGATGTCTATGATTGTTAACAGAAAAAAAAATCCGTTTTCAATGCAAACATCCATAAAAGGGTATATAATTGGAAGAATAAAATAGAAGCCAACAAAAATATAAATATATATATATATATATATATATGTAGATATACCTTAGCGTGGCTGGTAAAAGGTCTGTTCCAAGCTCCAGAGAAATCCCAGTTGCCTAAAGTTTCTAATGTAATGATGTCAATCTCTTGAGGTATGTGATTTTCTGCTACGGAGTAGAACTTCCCCGAATGCTCGAAAACATTGGTGTTACTATAATACTTGTTCACTTTGCCAAACCTCAACTGGAAGAAGCATCACGAACTAATAAGAGGAAACTTATAATTATCGGGGTTATATATACGTACTTTAAGTTGATAGATGTGAAAAACTCTAATAATTTATATGAAAGAGATATATGAAGGTACTGGTTCCGAAATAAACTACGTTAATAAGTAACGTGCCTACCAAATTGAGGAGGTAAGCGGCCAAAATAGCCGGCGAGTCCCCGCCTATGGCGGGAAGAAAAGACGGCTTGTTTCTCTGTTTTTCAAGCTTGAACGTTTCCGTTTCAACGTGTCTGTTGTTGTACCGGACAGTCCAGCCTCCATCATTGACGTCGCCGTCCCTACTAAAATATAAAGCATGTAGCATACCTTCTCCTTCAACCCATATGTGACTTGACCTTCCAAACACAGATCTTGTCGATTTAAATCCTCCAAATAGAGGGTTTGGCCCTACATAATATATATATATATATATATATATATAACTTGAAAAATTGACACAAAAACAAATATAAATTGAAAATATAACGCCATACATCCACATGCACAAAATAATTCAAACAATTGAGTGGTCACCAATTACTTCCGAATCCCCAGTTGTTTTTAGTGTTGAAGTTGTAGGGAGCATCTAGTAATATAATTCCTTTCTGATTTGTAAATCATATTGTTAGCAAAGTTTTTCTTCTAGCGAAAATACAATTTTGACCAGTATCGTGTTGAACTGATGATTAACACAATAATGTATAAGTCCAAATAAAGAAACGATACGAAAAAAACTCCTATTTGAAAACTTAGTTTTTTTTTCTCCAAATGAAAACTTAGTTGGTTTAGTATAAATATAATACCAAGCTTAACTAGTCAGCCGAGTTCATTCGTTAGACTTTGTTTGAGAAGTTCACGAGTTCAAATCTCATAAACACCATGATAAAAAATCTTCCAACCTTACCTTTATGTGCATGTATATTAACCTTAGTCCTACTCTCCTAAGGTCCTTATTTTGAGGACAGGTGAGGACTAAATGTATATTAGCCACAAGATTATATATTAGTTTATATCCAATGGCTTCAAATATTTAACAACTTAATTAATAAAGCAAAATAAGAAAATGGGTTTTTAATAATTCATGGATTTTAAGTTGGTTTTGCTTTATTAAGTTGTGAAATATTTTAAGCATTTTAATCTAAGCTAATATAATCTTGTGGTCAATATGCATTTAGTCCTCACAGGTTCTCAAAATAAGAACCTTAAGAGAGCAAGACAGGTATTAACCTTTGCTACATTGTGTACACATAATTAAATGTATAAAACCAGAAAAAATCTAAGCAAGCGTTAAATATTAAGTTGACGTACGGCAGAATTTTGTTATAGGTTAATGTTTTCCTTGAGAACAGGACTGGTACTGACCATTTCTTATGTAGACACCCTCTGGAAAATCATCTGGGATTTTCCCTCTGATGCTGCTGGTGACAGCAACTACTCCTCCCAACTCATCAACCGGCCTGAAGTTGCTCTACATTAATCAACAAAGAAAGTTACAAACTAATTAAATTGAAATTTTGGACAGCATTAATTTGTGAGAAACTAGTTATTGTAGTGCCTGAAAGTGAGTAAGCTACCTGAGATGGAAGATACTCTTGATCGACGAATTCGAACATTGAATCTACCAAGAAGTCCAACACTTTGTCAGAAGTGCTCTTGAAAGTTTTGGAGACATCTATTTGCATGGGAATGACTTGTTCCATTTTTCCCATCATAAATGGCTGAATCTTGTTCTACATATAGTTGATCAAGTCGGGTATAAGAACCGTTTACTGAAAATTATAACCTTGAAATTTATTTTTCTTTCACTAGCTAAACCCCCATGATAAATTGTTCTAACAAAAACTCAATGACTAAGCTACAACTAAAGCAATATCCATAATTAAGCTCGACTTAACAAAAACTCAATGGCTAGGCTACAACTAAAGCAATATCCATAATTAAGTTTGACTTTGCAGTCTTTTTTATATGAAATCTTAATCATATCTTTTTCACAAATTTAATTTAGTTCAAATAACATGCATATGAAACAAAATTCTTATTTGTTAAATATTACTGAGTTTACAATATGAAATATGCAAAAAAAAAAAAAAAAAATTGGATGTCTAAAAGACCCCTAATATCAAAATGTGTCTGAGGTTCTAAAAGGCGTTAGGCGTCTAGGCATCTTGACATAGCCTAGGTTGGTAGGGTCATGCGCCTATGCATCTAGGCATGGGCTTATGCAGTTTTTTTCTTTAATTTTAATTAAATTTATTATATAACATATAAATAAATGTCTACTTGTGCTTAAAACTTACATAATTATATTGGAGTTTATAAATTGCAATATGACATATACATTAAAAAGCATTAGAACATGAAAACATGGGAAACAAGCATATCATGAGTGCTTTTCTAAGTATTCAACAAGTCTTTACAATTTATTGAAAAAATAATATGCAAAATGAGAATTATCTATTTTCTGTCTAACTAAGAGTCGAAAGGGGTTCAAGCTGGCTAGTGGGTGCCTAGGCAGTCAAAGGGCCATTTTTTAATTTTCAATTGCCTAGGAATTAATATGGATGGTGACCAACTGACTAGCACCTAGGCAGGACTTAGGTGACACTAGGCGGAGATTTTTAGAAGTGAATGTACCTAAATATGTAATAATACATGCAACCTAATTTACTTGCAAAATAGAAGAATGTTGTTTGACTGCACACACCATATAATAATAACAAAATGTACCTAATATATGTAGTAATACATGCAAAATAATGAGTGCTGTTAAACCCACCCCATTGACTTATTTCCCCACCCACTTGTTAATGAAATTTTTAATGACATATTTATCCTTTTATCAAAAGACTTTTAAACCCCTATGTGGTCCTACGTAGTAGTCAACGCTAATATTTTTGTAACAGCCACGATTGAGTGCATTTGATTGTACGGCTGGCGAAATAAGAGGGGGGAAAAGAGAAAACGGGGTGACCTGCCACTGACAAGTAATCACCTCCCATCGTCCTCGACGACACTGATCTGCAAAAGTGGATATTGGTAAGGCCTGGATTTGAGGCAGGTGTGAGGGGTTTGGGTGTCAACTGGGGCTGGATTCGACAAGATGCACTCAAGCTTAAGAAGGGCAGCATCAAAGCACCAGCTCAAGATTTTCCCTAAAATGCTTCCATCTTTCCAACACCAAGAAGCTCACAACCTCATTGAAAGTCATTGGTGGGTTGTTTTGAATCCAAAGTTTCAGAGAACCAACAACCTGCATAGAAAAGGCAAACTACCAACTAGACCACAATAGCCGGACCCCGACCCACCACCCAAATCCAAAGTTTCATTGAAAGTCATGTGTTGGTGCGGCTAGAGTATAATGAAGGTGCAGCAATGTGATTAAGGATGGAGATTGAGGTTTTTTTTTAAATATATTAAAGGTTATTTTAGGAATAATAGTGGGTGGGAAAATATCATTTTAATTTTTAAAATTTTTATGGTGGGTGAAATAATAATGTGGGTGGGAAAATAAGACAATGAGATGAGTCTAGTAGCATTCAAAATAATTTACTTAAAATATAGGCACACTAATCTTTTCAAAAAAAAAAAGTACATTGATATTCGAAAAATAAAACAAAACATACTAGACACATATTTTAAAGAAAACAGAAGCATGGTTTTTTTATTAAATCAATAGGGTACATTAATCTGAAAATTTATTGTTGAATAAAAAACGTTTTGAATTTCCATTCCTACATCAATTAAAATTTCAAAGCCATTACACACGTTACAAGCAAATAAACAAGCTTTCCATTTTAATTTTGATATCAACATAAAATGCTATAATGACTTAACAGAGGGTAATTTGGGGAATCCGAAAATATTAAATATTATACACAATCTTGATTGGTTAATTCACTTAGGTGGAGCCTAATCATTGAGTTTTTGGTATAAAAATATATTATTGTGGGTTTTATGTAAAAAAATTGAATTTAAAGTGATAAAATCACATTTTCAGTATTAATAACAAGGCACCTCTAATAACAAAACATGCCTAATATATGTAAATACGTGCAAAATAATTTATCTGCAAAATAAAAGAATGTTTTTAGTTAATTAATTATGGGAACTGTCAATAGCATTTCAAAAATCTTATTCTACATTCCTCACAAGTGTATTTTTCTTTCTAATTATAGAAAGTTTAGTGCCAAATGAGATTTTTGGAGTCAAAATAACAATTTTCTTGATTAAAAACTAATTAATTACCTACATTTTGCATAAAAATAATAATAAGAAAATGTGCCTAATACATATATACATGCAAAATAATTGGTTGTCAACAAATAAAAGAAATGTAATAGTTGATCCTAAAAAATACTTTGTTTAAATTTTGGGTTCTATTTGGATATTTAAAACGACATGGGTTTTTGTGAAGGAAATAAGTGTTGTAAGGGCTTCTCTAAAGAACCCAAATGTTTATAAGACACACACACACATATGCATTTGAACAATTGAATGAGATCAAGTACACTAGTCACCATGAAAGCTGAGGAGAGGGTGCTCTTCAAGTGATAAAGATTTTCAGAGGCAGAAGGCTTCTTCTTAAGAGAAGAGCAGTTCAGTTGAAATGGAATACATGAAGCCATATCTCTCTTTCTGCGTCCTTATCTCTAAGAGCCACGGCTTACAACTATATACATACATACATATATAATATATCGAATAGATTCCATAATGTCTTTGGTTTGGTCCTATTAGCAAGTACATACAAAGCAAACAAGTACATACATAGCAAACAACCTTGAAATCTTAAATTCACATGATACTAAGCCTCAAGACAAAATGTTAGTCTCAATATGATTTTACTGGACATGGTGTAACTGGAGAGGGTATAATTGGAGAAATAATAAATTAATAATCGTAAGGATAAGTATGAAGAAAGTATCTTATTGGACATTAATCTCTATCATAGCATTGGATTAATTAATTGTTTTAAGTAAAAAAAACATGAAGATTCGTTTGAGCTTAAAAGCATCTTTCCGTGTCTAATGCTTCTCGATTAGTGGTTGAAAGCTTTGGAGTATGCTGTAGAATTAAATAAGCCCACTGGCCAACAAGGGTGGGCTTTCCTCACACAAAAATTATGAGGGACCTTTAACGGTTTTCCAAATTTTTTCTTAACAATAAACAACCTAATAGCTTATTTAATGAAGATGACTATAACATTAATAAACAGAATAAAAAGTTTAATATGATAAGAAAAAAACTGCAAGTGGCCTCTTACTACAGTGATGGAATGGTGTTGAGCCCTTGCATGACAACGTAGGTTTAACTCTGTCAGTGGCTAATCTAACATCTAATCTAATAAAATCTATCATTTGTCAAAAAAAATAAAAAATAAAAAATAAAAAAACTAAAATACTCTGATGCGAGGACCCGCTAGACCTGGCATTTGTGTCATACTCGATATCTTAATGGGTTGTATTCTGTAACACCTTTTAAAATGAACAAGTAATATGAGCTAACCCGAACTCGATTCGTTAATATTAACGGGTAATATGAATCGACCCGTTATATATTAAAAAAATATTTTAAATCAATAAATAATCAAATGAAAAACATAATACTAAATTATTATGTACATACTCTATTATCACATAAATATTACTTCAAAAACACATTTGTCTTTCAAGTATTAGGTCATCTCCAACCGAAAGGGGTCAAATGACCATGTTTAGCCCTATAGCCTTACAAGAAATTATTTTTTTATGAACAGTGTCATGCCATATTTTATACCATCTCTAACCGAGAGGGCCAAAGGGCTATAGGTCAAAACATAGCCATTTGACAAAAAAACTCATCTCCAACCGAATGAGGCTATTTTTTAGCCCCCTTAAAAATTTATTATTTTAATTGAATTAAACTACCATATTAAAATAAGGTTTTCGGATATATTTTGAGTGCTACTTGTCGCTAAATGAATAAACTTCTGGATTTCTTATCTTTATATAATGAAAGGGATGTGAAACATTAGTGAAGAATTGATATAAAATGAGAAAGATAGTATGGAATGGTGAAAAGGAGGTGAAAAATGGTGTAGAAACGACTTAGGTATTTATAGAAAAAAAAATTAGATTTTGTTTTTTTTTAAATTTCATCTAAAAAAAAAAAATCAAATCCAACAATAACCTGACGTCAGCTAGCATGGGTTTGGGCTGGTGCAAACGGGTTGGCTGGCTGGCCTGGTGGATGAATTATGCCCTGGTGGGGCCCACAAGCCCTTTGGCCTAGCCTTCGGTTGGAGACGGTTTTCATGTTAAAACGGGTTATATTTTGGCATATGGCCTTTTTGCTGTGTCAGTTGGAGATGACCTTACCTACCCCAAAATAAGAGCCTAATGAAAAATAAAGGGAGTTATGTTTCAAGGTTGTGGAACCTTGCACATTTTTTGACAATAAAACCCTTCAATTTTCATCAACTACCAAAGAAAATGCTATTGAAATTTTGGCTTGATATATTGTCTTCAAGAGTCAGATCATGTTTTCGGTAACACTTTTCACATTAGCACTCTCTTCCACATAAACTAAGAGGATAAAACATTTATTTTTAATGTGTTTTTAATCTCACTTTTAAGAGGATAAAACATTTATTTTTATGAATGTATGAGAAATAATGAAAAATTTTGTTAGGTCGTTGACTCTAAAATTAAAAGTCTGTCTTTTTGTCTTGTGCAGTATAGAACTTTACTAACAAGTAAGGGAAATGAATTTAATCCACGGAACATCCACTAATCGTTTTCGCAAGAATTGTGAATCTTGAGCTTTGAAAAAGAAATCAGTAGCCCGGTTTTTTCTGTTAACTTATTTAGCCTCCAAGGGGGGTCATAATCCCATCTATTTAGTACCACGGAGAAAGGGGGTGATGTAGAACGAGTAGCCAGAAATTAGGATATTGAGCTAGATGACATAAAAGAGATACGCCTAAGAGAATTTAGATGAATCTGACAGACAAGAAAAGAAGATACGCAGGGAGAAAATCCTGCATCATGAAGGCACACACAGAGAGAAAGTATAAACTTGCAAAACAGAAGTTCAACAAATGTCAAAATGGAGCTCCAACATACCTATAAAAACTGTTAAAATTCTAATGTAACATAAATGTAAACCCTTTAAGGATGCAACACTATTATCATTGACAACCTGCCGTAGAAACTGAAGAATTATTTGGTGACTTAGTTACCAGGTACACAAAGTCAATTTACATACGTGATGATATACAAGAAAAGGGAGCCTACATTACTCAATTGACACAACTTCAAACAAAATCAGCATTTACTATAGGTATTCAACACTACATATGTACTTGATCGTGCCTACCAGGGTAACGTACATTCAATTACTTATTTTTACTTCCTTAAAATTAGCATAACTATTCATCTTATCGGTTGGAGAAACTACATATATAAATGGTGTACACAACTTAGAAATCGGCAGATGCTTTTCCAAGCAAGTGCACTTCTTATACTCTTTGTTGCACACTTATTCCTGTAGCAAATGTCTCTGCAAGGATTGATGTTCTATAAAACGTCCATGTCGAACATCGTGTTCCTAACGAATATGTTGTTTCAGACGAACAAAGAACTATATTGGCAGCTAACCAGTCTAGTGCCACCTCCTTGAAGCAAGGCAGATCCTTTGGTTCAAAGGATAAGCTTCCCATAAAAAGAAGAGCAACGGCACATGAAGAGACATCCCGAGTGTTGGTCTTTCTGTAGCTGCCTCATCCGTTCCACAACTTGACATTGTCTTAGATCACGGAAGTGTCTTGGACGCAAGACCTAAGAATACCGATTCCGAGAACTTTGAGATCTATGTCAACTACACCTGTTTGGAAGATATGTGGAAACATAACAAGATCATCGTTGATGATGTATTTGCTAATGCAGTGGCCACCAAAATAGTAAAGACCGATGACATTGGACCACGATCTGTTGAAGCACAATGCTAATCCGACTAGCCAAATGGGAAGAGGCAATCCATGTTCAACTTGATTCCTTAGCAAAACGTTGCATGTTCAGACTAGTCGTTCCAACACCCTTAGACGTAAAACCCGTAGGCTTCAAATGGGTATCCGTTAGGAATCGTAATGAGAATAATGAGGTTGTAAGGTATAAGGCCCGCCTCGTGGCGCAAGGTTTCTCACAACGCCCTAGGATTGATTACGAGAAGACGTATTTTCTCGTAATAGATGTTATTAAATGTCGTTACTTAATCAGTTTAGTAGTTTCCGAAAGACTGAGTATTCAACTTATGGACGTGGTCTCTATATCTATATAGGGATCTAGATACTGAGATTTATATGAAAGTCCCAGTAGGACTAGTAATACCAGAATCAATGCATGCTCAACCATGGAACATGTTTTCAATTAGGTTGAAGCGTTCGCTATATGGTTGAAACAATATGGACGGATTAGGTACAAATGCCAGAGTGAGTACTTGATCGGAAAAAGATATGTAAACAATGAAATTGTGCCCATGCGTGTTCATTAAGACCACCAATTCTGATTTTGCGATAATTGCAATATATGCAGATGACATGAACCTTATTGGAACTCCAGAAGAGATGCCAATGATTGCTACGCACATGAAGATGGAATTTGAGATGAAGAATGTAGGTAGGACCTATTGTACCAGCTTGCATATTGAGCACTGATAAGCTCACATTTATATATTTTTTACATCAAATTCACTTGTCTTTTCTTAGTTAGTTCCTTATATCTTTGAGCTATTTTCTTTGTTTTCATGTTTTGTGGGATTTGTGAAGCAAAGAAAAGAAAAATAGAACAAGTGGGATTTTAAGTAACAAATTCATCAAAACTGCCTGTGCAGATCAGTTGACTTTGAAACAAGTTTTGAACAGGTCATAATGAATTAGAGAATGAACCTTATATGCTTGGAAAGCTACGGATGTTTATTTTCTGGAGCATTTCACGGATTGTTAATATCATTTTTCTAAAAGAAGTTATGGCTGTTTTAACACTGAAAGGTTCCTAAGAGGCTGAGCAGTTTGTAACTGAAAGCAATAAATCCAATAAATCTAGTAGCCAAAACTGATGCAGCCAAGAACAAGCCAGCTGACACCTATTCAAATGTCAGAGGAAATGGTAATAAAGATGAGGATTAAATGGGAGTAATTGGCATAAAGGTTACCCAAAGAGTTACAATTGTTTTACAATTTTCTCTCACTTATTGCCATCACTAAATGGCTGTTAGTGGGTGAGTTAAGGAGAAGAAAATGGAGCAGCAAGTTAAAAAGGGGAAAGGATGCAGGTTGCAGCGAAAAAAAAAAGAAGAGAAGGAGAAAAAAAAATAGAATAGAAGGAAAAGGCAAGGCAGCAGCGTTGGGGAAGGAAGGAAAGGAAGGAGGAAACCTTGACATTCTCTTCTTTCGGTTTTATCTTCTCAAACTCATGTCTTTCTTTTGGTTTTATTTAATAATAATGTGTAACTAAATTTTTAGTAGTTAGGGGCTGTTTTGAAGCCCCTAATATGATTGCAAGTTTGTTATGACATTTCGTTTGAATTACTTTTATGAATGGATGAAAATTGGTTCACTACTTGTCTCATTGATGAATTCTTTATTTGTTTTCTATATATGCATACTTAGTAAGCATATCTAGGATTCTAACGCTATGAATATGTGTGTGCCTGCTCTTATTGAATGAGGACCTACATATGTTCTAGAGTAGTACTTGTTAATTGCGATTAACATGTGAACCAATTTCTAGGATAAGTAAGACAATGCTAGTACTTACGATGCCTTGTGATGACTCAAACTCTTTTTGTTCTTAATGATTTCTATTTGTTAAATCTATGAACACACCATGCTAGATTGCATGTTAGGAGCTAATTTAAGTTGAAAACGCCATTCTCTTAACATACTACATAAGAAAGAGTAATAAGTTGAGTTCTAACATTGAGCCACCTTGAGCATCTTCATCCGGAAATAAAAGGAATTTGAATGAAACATAACATGTTTGCATGATTATTTGGTGATGGATAGCAATTCCCCTAACTCGTTTTTCTTAATTTGTGAACTACTTAAAATTTGTTTCTGTCCTGTTTTTGTTCGATTTAATTTAAATAGCAAATCAACTCCAAAAATCCCAAATATTTGTGTGAGTGTAGCTCTGTGTGTCTAGTATTTTCATATAAAATTTCGTAGACTTTGCATAAGCGTAAATCAGTCTATTAATTATTTTTCGGTGGCTGGTTAGTAGGGACAGCAGCCCAATTTTTTGTGACATTTTAAGTAGTTAGGTAAAACAATCTTCTGCGGGAAAGACCCTTACTTTCATATGCTACAATTGATAAATCTTAGATTTAAAAAGGAAAATCAATAGGACATTTGTGTGCTACTTTGTGGTGTGCTTTTAATCTTATCAAATTTTTGGCGCCGTGTCGCCAGGGATTGTTATTTCTAATTACTTATTTTTCTATTGTTTTCTTTTCTTGCCTAATTAGTGTTTTTGTTTTTGTTTTTATTTCAGGTACTCTTCGTAGTATATACATACTCGAAGGTCCAAGAGCATTGATCTTGCTTCCTACGATCCCGAGCTTGAATGAACACTTCGAAAGCTTCAGAGAAAAACAAGCAGAAGCGTGCATCAGTGTCTTTACCACCATCTTCTCATTTGAGTTTGGATGAGGAGGAAGAACCACAAGAAGGCATGGCTGATAACCGTACTTTGAAGGAATTGGCAACGCCAAATACAGATCAACAACCATTGTGCATCACATATCCAAATGCAGAAGGGGGATTTGAGCTTAAGTCCGACATGATTCACTACTTGCCTAAGTTCCATGGCTTCTCAACAGAGGATACCAACAAGCATTTCATGGAGTTTCATGTGGTATGCTCGGGAATGAGACCATCAAATGTGGATGAGGAGCAAGTTAAGTTGAGTGCATTCCCATTTACATTAGAAGCTAAGGCAAAGGAGTGGCTTTACAATTTACCTCCGGGATCAATGAACACAAGGAACCAGGTGAAGCAAGCATTCTTGGAGCAATATTTTCTGGCCATAAAAGCTGCAAGCATAAGGAAAGACATATGTGCAATCCGACAACAACATGGAGAGCCATTTGGAGATTATTATGAGCAATTCACACATTTGGTTGCATCTTGTCCTAATCATCAGATTTCAGAGCATCTTTTAATATAGTATTTTTATGAAGGATTGTGTGGTACTGATCTTGTAACGCTTGATGCAGCAAGTGGAGGAGCATTCATGGACAAGACACCAACAAATGCTAAGGCATTATTAAAGAACATTGCTGGCAACACACGACAATTTGGAGGGAGAGATGAGTTACCTCTTAAGAAAGTTAACGAGGTAAGTGCTAATTCTAGTATTGAATTACAATTAGCTAACTTGACTAATCTTGTGCAACAGATTAAGGTGGCTCCAAAACAGGTGTGTGGTGTATGTTCAATGATGGGACATGCCACAGACATGTGCCCTTCATTGATGGATCAAGGTGGTCTTGAGCAAGCTAATGCGTTAGGAGGGTTTCAGGGGCAACAAGGGCAAAAGTATAATCCATACTCCAACAACTATAATGCGGGGTCGCGCGATCATCCACACTTAAAGTGGAACAATCAAGACAACGGACAACAATATGTTCCCAATAACTATAACCGTTCACCTGGCTTCTTTCAAGCAAGACCGCATGCACCATTTCAGCCTCAACAACAACAAGATCCAAGTAAGTCTCTTGAGGATTTAATTGCTTCTTTAGCTAACTCTAGTCAATCTCATCAACAGAAAACAGACAAAGCAATTGAAAACCTTGAGCGCCAAATGAGTCAGTTAGCAAGTTTGATGGGGCAACAACACCAACCAGGAAGGTTGCCTATCCAGACCGTGGTGAATCCAACTACGGAGCAAATGAATGTTGTGACTTTAAGGAGTGGAAAAGAAGTTTTTGAGTAGCCAAGGATGCAAAAGAGGACTAGAAAATATACAAATGAGTAAGGGGAGCTACAAACCAAAAATCTTGAGCAAGATGAGGCTTCAATAGAAACTAAAAAGTCTCATAAAGCTACAGAAATGAACACAAAAGATTCTAATAAGGTAAGTAAAGAAGTTCAAAATTCATTTAACTCATGTGTCCCTGTTCCTTTTCCTCGTAGGTTTATGAAGTCTAAGAAAGAGAAACTGATAAGGAAACCTTGTATACTTTCCGGAAAGTCCAAGTGAACTTACCTCTTTTAGATGCCATAAAACAAGTGCCCAAGTATGCAAAGTTCCTTAAAGAGCTTTGTACGAACAAGAGGAGATTCAATGATCAAGAAACTGTGGCATTAAGCGAGGAAGTATCAGCTGTTTTGCAGAGGAAGCTGCCACCGAAGTTGAAAGATGCCGGTAGCTTTACCATTCCATGTGTAATTGGAGGGAAAAAGTTTAGGAGAGCATTGTGTGATTTGGGGGCATCTATCAATATGATGCCATATTCAGTATATGAATCATTGAACCTTGGAGACTTGAAAGAAACAAAGGTAGTAATCCAGTTGGCAGATTGTTCAAATAGATATCCCAAAGGCCTATTGGAGGATGTACTTGTGCAAGTGAATGAGCTCATTTTCCCTGCTGACTTTTTTGTTCTTGAGATGGAACATGACCCTATGTTTACTGCACTTCCTCTTATATTGGGAAAACCATTCCTTAGAACAGCACGTACAAAGATTGATGTCTACGATGGTACCTTAACCATGGAAATTGATGGGGAGAGTGTCAAGTTCAGAATCTTCAATGCTATGAGGTACCCTAGTGAATTAGAATCTTGTTTGTCTGTTGATGTGTTTGACTATTTTGTGTAGGATTGTTTTAATGAAGGTGTGGGACAAGATAATTTAGAGAAGGCATTAGTGCATAGCATTACACATGGAAATTTTAATTATTCAGAGCACATTGAAGAAGAATTAATCCAAACAGTGGCCTCTCTTGAGTCTCTTTATGCATCTCGAACACTCAATGATGCACAGTTGAATTATTCAACAACAGAGAAGAAGCTTTTAGCTGTAGCATTTGCTTTAGAAAAAATTGAATCTTATCTGATTGGGACTAAAGTTATTGTGTTTTCTGACCATGCAGCTTTGAAGTATCTATTCACAAAAAAAAGATGCAAAACCACGACTCATTCAATGGATACTTTTATTTCAAGAGTTTGACTTGGAGATCAAGGATAAGAAATGGAGTGAGGATGTTGTAGCAGATCATCTTAGCAGACTTGTGCATTCAAACACAGAGGAAGATCTCATGCCTTTACGTGAGAGCTTTCCGGATGAGCAATTGTTTTCATTAAAGGCTACTAACCCTTGGTATGCAGATATTATCAATTACAAAGTCACCAAAAAGATTCCGGATGATTTTACACGTGCTCAGGAAGATAATCTTGTCAAAATTGCCAAATAATACAAGTGGGATGATCCTTATTTGTGGAAATATTGCCCTAATCAATTGATTAGAAGGTGTGTCTCCGAATCTGAGTTTAAATCTATAATAACTTTTTGTCATTCTTATGCATATGGCGGCCATTTTGGAGCAAAAAGGACATCTCTTAAGGTGTTAGATAGTGGTTTTTATTGGCCGACTTTGTTTAAGGATGCGTACGAGTTTTGTGCAACATGTGATCGTTGTCAACGAACAGGTAACTTGGGCCTAAGAAATCAAATGCCACAAACCCCTATTTTGATTGTTGAGATCTTTGATGTGTGGGGTGTGGATGCAAATTTCTTCCTCCTTGATCTTGGACAATTTTGCACCTACAAAACAATTAACACCTTAGATTAAGGCCAAGAGCCTCACGCGCCCACGATGAATTGGGGGGGGCTTTGGCCGAAGAACCTCCGATGCCAAAGTTAGAATTTAGAGAGAAAGAGTGTTTAGAGAATTTTGGGATTTTTGCCAAAGTGTTGGAATGAATATTTGGTGAAAATATGAGCCTATTTATAGAGCTAGGTTGGTTTAGGTTTTATTTTGGTTTAATTAGCCAATTAATTGGCTAATTAAACATAAAAGGAAATATTTTTGTGGTTATGGAATTAATTGGCTAATAAAAAGGAAGAAATGGTGAAAAAAGGTAGAAAAAGTGATGGATTAGGTTTTGAATGGGGATAGCCGGCCATGTGGTGTTTTAGGGTTGAATTGGATGTATTTTGTGGTTATTTGGATATAATGGATGGTTTAATTGACAACTAATGGGTTAATTAGGCAATAAACCCATTAATTAGCCAATTAACATAATTTAAAAGGAATGTGTTTGGGAATTACCTTGTACAAAGGATTTGATGAGATGAACTTTGAATTGTTACCTATTTTGGGCACTTCTATCTTGGTTGAAAGATGGTTGCCCGCTGCTTGCGCGTAGGAACCTCGTTGTACTGCAAGGGTATCTTTGTCCTTTTTGTCCAAAAATCCACGTGTCGCCTTGTGAATATTTTTGGTTCCACATGGGGCATTGATTTCATGGGACATTTTCCATCTTCTAGTGGTTTTCTTTACATTTTATTAGTTGTGGATTATGTTTCTAAATGGGTGGAAGCAACAACCACCAAAACTAATGATTCAAAAGTTGTTTCAGATTTTATTAAGAGTAACATCTTTGCAAGATTTGGAATACCTAGAGCAATCATTAGAGATGGAGGGAGTCACTTTTGCAATAGAAAATTTGAAGCGTTGCTTAAGAAGTACAATGTCACACATAAGGTGTCTACACCTTATCATCCACAAACTAGTGGTCTAGCAGAAGTATCAAACCGTGAGGTGAAGCAAATTTTGGAGAAAACTGTGAGTCCTAATAGGAAGGATTGGAGCATGCGCTTGAACGATGCATTGTCGACTTATAGGACTACCTATAAGACTCTTATTGGAATGTCCCCATTTCGGTTAGTTTATGGGAAACCATGTCGTCTTCCAGTAGAGTTAGAACACAAAGCTTATTGGGCGATCAAAGCCTACAACATGGACATGAGTGTTGTCGGACAACAGAGGAAGCTTCAATTGAATGAGTTAGACGAAATCCGGAATGATGCATACGAGTCTAGTCGAATATACAAGGAGAAATCAAAGGCATTTCATGACAAGATGATATCAAGGAAGAGCTTTGCCATTGGACAAAAAGTTCTTCTATTTAATTCTCGCCTTCGGTTATTTCCAGGTAAGCTTTGTTCTCGATGGGTTGGTCCTTTTGTTATAACTAATATTTTTCCTCATGGTGCAGTGGAAATCCAAAGTGCAAAGACCGGAAACGTGTTCAAAGTGAATGGGCATAGACTCAAGCCATATTACGAGTCTTTTGTAGAGCATGATGTGGAGGTTGTACTCCTCCAAGAACCATCTCCCCTTAGATGATTACTCTTGGTACTGTCCGGCTGCGGACGTAAAAGCAAGCGCTTATTGGTAGGCAACCAAATATTTCTCTTCATTGACTTTTTATGTCATTTTCACTTTTCCGTTTGTTTTTGTTTTTTGAATTTTCTTGCATGCTAAACTGAATTATTTCTTTTCTTTGTAGGAAAATTTGATCTTGTCTACCATTGGAGTTGATTGCAGAATTGGAGTTTGAGGGTCATCGCTTGATTTTACTGCAAATTGGGGAAGTTTTCAGTCCAAATGCTTTATTTTGTTTCTTCTTTTTTTTTAATTTATTTTTATTTTATGCATTATTGTGTTTTCTGACATTGGGGACAATGTCCAGTTTAGGTTTGGGGATAAGGATTGAAAACATGACCAAATTGAAAATTTTCGTACCTTCGACTAAGAACTGGTTTGATTTGTTTCCGTGTTGTTTCTTTTTGTTTTCTTAATTAGTTTTGTTTTCTCTTAAAAAAAATCAAAAGATTTGAAAATCCAAAAAAATAGTCTTATTTTCTTTATTGTTTTAAAGTAGATTTTTGTTAGTTTCATGACCCTATGATATAATTGGATCAAATTTGAACCACGATGATCAAGAACTTAGTAAGCATGTGTTGTGTGAAATTCCTTATTCTCTTGTTAGCCTTGTATATGTTTAATCATCTTTGAAAAACCAAATGCACATATCCTTATTGATATGAAACTAAAGCATGACTTAAAGCTTTGCATGTGAATATAGTGACCATATACAGCCTATGTGAGTTTTTGAGCCTATTGAAAGTGTGTGCATTTTTCATACACTCATATTCTTTCATGCGTGATGAACTCATAACAATCTTTCGAAATGTTTGTCATTGATTGCATGAATTTGAAAAGGATAGAGGCATTAGGTTTATCACCATGGCCCAAATAGGCATGTTTCCTAAAGAAAAATGATATCATTAGATTGCCAATTGAGCCATATATGTTGAGCCTTTTATTTCTTATCACCAGATATGTCTACCCTTATACCTTAAACATTTTTCCTTACCCTTTCCAAGCTAGCTAGTGAGCAATGTGAGATTGTCTTATGAAAAATATTTGTGAAGTACTTTGAAGGAGTTTGGAAAAAGAATAAGTGTGTGGGTATTTCATGTTTGTATTTAGTTATGTGCAAAATTGGTTAAAAATAAATAAAAAATTGTATACAAAGCAAATAAAAAGGTTTTTAAGTTTCAGTTTAGGGGTGTGATTGGAGGTATTAGTATAGTGGTTGGAGAGCTTGAGTTCTTGTAAATCACAACAAGAGAATTGCTTGCAATGTAGCTTGGAACTTGTGTTTACCTATCCTTTCATTTCTATAACCCTCTTCCTAAGCCTCATTACAACAAATAAAAGTCCTCTTGATTTAAGTTTTGCAATTATGATTGTGGAGATGAGATCTTTATGCAAGCTTATGGTAGATCTTTCACATTTGATTCTTTGAACGAAACACATTAAACTAAACATATGTGTGATTGAGGGTATGTCTCGTGAGAAGGTCACTAGTTTGCATGTGGTGTTTTAAAAAAAAAACTTGAAATTGCATTAGCATGGCTATTACACATACTACACTTCAAGGATGATTAAAAGGTTACTGCTAACATTTGAATAAGGAAGATGAGCCTTGGATTAGCTTGTTTGGTGCTAGCTAAGGTTCTTTATGATTTGTTTTTTTTTGAATGAAATTCTATGAGGGTCACATAGGGGGAAGCTATTGTTTTTCATGTTGCTACTTTTTCATATTTTCTTTGTTTTGCTCGAGGACTAGCAAAAGCTAAGTGTGGGGGTATTTGATAAGCTCACATTTATATATATTTTACATCAAATTCACTTGTCTTTTCTTAGTTAGTTCATTATATTTTGAGCTATTTACTTTGTTTTCATGTTTTGTGGGATTTGTCAAGCAAAGAAAAGAAAAATAGCACACGTGGGATTTTAAGTAATAAATTCGTCAAAACTGCCTGTGCAGATCAACTGACTTTGAAAGCAAGTTGTGAACAGATCATAATGAATAAGAGAATGAGCCTTATATGCTTGGAAAGCTATGGATGTCTATTTTCTGGAACATTTCATGCATTGTTTATATCATTTTTCTAGAAGACGTTATGGCCATTTTAACACTAAAAGGTTCCTAAGAGGCTGAGCAGTTTGTAAAAGCAATAAATCCAATAAATCTAGCAGCCAAAACTGATGTAGCCAAGAACAAACCAACTAATACCTATTCAAATATTAGAGGAAATGGAAATAAAGATGAGGATTAAATGGGAGTAATTGGCATAAAGGCTACCCAAAGAGTTACAATTGTTTTACCATTTCCTCTCACTTATTGCCATCATTAAATGGTTGTTAGTGGGTGAGTTAAGGAGAAGAAAATGGGGCAGCAAGTTAAAATGGGGAAAGGATGCAGGTTGCAGCGAAAAAAAAGAAGTGAAGGAGAAAAAAAAAATAGAATAGAAGGAAAAGGCAAGGCAGCAGCGTTGGGGAAAGAAGGAAATGAAAGAGGAAATCTTGGCATTCTCTTCTTTCGGTTTTATTTTTCAAGCTCATGTCTTTCTTTTGGTTTTATTTGATAATAATATGTAACTAAATTTTTAGTAGTTAGAGGCTGTTTTAAAGCCCCTAATATGATTGCAAGTTTGTTATGACATTTCGTTTGAATTACTTTTATGAATGGATGAAAATTGGTTCACTACTTGTCTAATTGATGAATTCTTTATTTGTTTTCTATGGATGCATGCTTAGTAAGCATATCTAGGATTCTAACGCTATGAATATGTGTGTGCCTGCCCTTGTCGAATGAGGACCTACATATATTCTAGAGTAGTACTTGTTAATTGCGATTAACATGTGAACCAATTTCTAGGATAAGTAAGACAACGCTAGTACTTACGATGCCTTGTGATGACTCAAACTCTTTTTGTTCTTAATGATTTCTACTTGTTAAATCTAAGAACACGTCATTCTAGATTGCATGTTAGGAACTAAGTTAAGTTGAAAACGTCATTTTCTTAACATACTACATAAGAAAGAGTAATAGGTTGAGTTCTAACATTGAGCCAACTTGAGCATCTTCATCCGGAAATAAAAGGAATTTGAATGAAACATAACATGTTTGCATGATTATTTGGTGGTGGATAGCAATTCCCCCAACTCGTTTTTCTTAATTTGTGAACTACTTAAAATTTGTTTCTGTCCTGTTTTTGTTCGATTTAATTTAAATAGCAAATCAACTCCAAAAATCCCAAAAATTTGTGTGAGTGTAGCTATGTGTGTCTAGTGTTTTCGTATAAAATTTCATAGACTTTAGGTGACACACTCCGTCCCGAAGGAGGGCATGCTGGCCGTCACGTGAGAGTGACGTAACCATTTGCACAGTACGGAAGCTTTAATTATACAATTTATAAGTTGATACACCCGAAGGTGAGTCCTAATTTTGTCCAATCTGTCAGAACACCGTCAAATTCCTCGTAGTCACCACACCTTTGTGATTCCTGAACCTGGAGGGGCGCAAAACCAAAATTGAGTGGGTCAGTAAAACAATTCTTTTCCAAATCCAAACATTTCTCAAAACGTTGTAACCCCTCTCCGTAAAAACCTGTATACTTTCCCAGAAAATATAAAAATATAAATATACATATATATATTCTCAATACTTCAATTCATTAACTCAACATTTTCATCATAATTATGCCATGCCACATCATCTCAACATTTCTCATATTAATTATGCCATGCCACATCATCTCAACAGTAATAAGGTATGAATGCATCAACATAAATCATATCAGGTGCAATAAAGTAATCAACCGGAGGCCCTCTATTAGCCCGGTTGAACCTAGAGCTCAAAATCTATCACTCTCACACTCTGCCGGAGTCACTCCACGTGACCTGTACGGCCTTCTGCACATAAGTTACGCTCTAGTGCTTCTCATAAATCATCTGTGCACATAATCTAAGGTCACCCACCAGTCGGAATCTCACTAACACTCTCGCGACTGGCCTGTCGTACCCACTCCGCGTGGACTGTACGACTAGCATCTACTTGGATCCAAGACGAGCGTGCGATGCGGTGAATACTATAAGCACTAAACTATGGTGCAGGATTTGAGCTCAATATACATCAACATCATCATAACAGAAATAAATACTCACCTGTGCGTCCACCGCACCATTTCATACATATGCATCATAAATCAATTCTTACCTGTGCGTCCACCGCACCAATTCATACATATGCATCATATATTAATTCTTACCTGTGCGTCCACCGCACCAATTCATACATATGCATCATATATTAATTCATGCATGGCATTTCAACTCACATTTCTATATACTTTTCATATCAATTCTATGCATGGTATTTCACTTCCCGTTTTTCCACATAACTCATATGCATTTCATTTTAAACATATTTTCATTTCAATTCAATTTCTGGGAAACGTCAAGTATATATATATATACGGAAAACAAAACTGCCCACTCACAGAATACATCGACGTGTCGAAGGTCCCTGAGCCTCCCTTAGCCATGCCCAACGTACGTATAATTCTCGCCTATACGAGAAGTAACCAAATTAACATTATTTAACGCATAATCCCACTCTTAGCTAATAACTCCTCATATAATGCTCAAATTGGGTATATGAATATACCACGGTGATCTACTCGACGTCACGGACGTCGACATATTTTTAGATTAATTTTTTACTGTAGCACGCGCCCCCACGCGCCAAGGAAGGCACGGGTCCACGCGCCCCCACGCGCACCTTCTTCTTCCTTGGGTCGCCGGACTGGTTTTTCCGGCGGCCGTTTTTCAAATTGCCATAACTTTGTCATTTCTCAACGAAATCAAGTGATTCAAAAACGAAAGTTTTAGCCCTTGAAGAGACAAAGAGAATGATACCTTGCACAACACCTAGTTCGCCGTGGTTTGGCCGGAAACTGCCTCGAAAGCCTCGGAGGTCGCCGGAAACT